TTCATATACATTATTTTACAAAGACATCATGTTCCATAATAATAATTGCTTAATTTATATTTTCAGATAATTTTGCCAGTATTAAATTATCTGAAAAAGAATGAGAATTATATACTACAAAAGGCAAAAGAAACTTAAATTACACATATATCAATAGATTATTATTGAATTTAAAGAATTGATAAATCTTTTTATATATTCTGTGTAGAAAAATTTTCATTTCTAAACTAATTATTTATATATTTTTAATTAATAAATTAACAGATTTTTATTAATTCTTCTGCTCCAATAATTATTTCAATTATAATATTATTAGAATTGAATTATAATAAAACTATTCATTTAACAATTAATTTACAAGATAAAATAATTATTTTATATAAATGATTGTTGATATAAATTTAAATAAATATATTAAAATAGAAATATATAAAAAAATATATATATATATATAAATTAATTTTTTTCAATTATTAGATAAGATGTATAATATAAAAATATTTTGAATTTTAAGAAGCTTTAAGCAACTAATCTAATATTTTAACTAAATATAATAGAATTAAACAATATTTAATATTATTTCATATTATCTAATTTAATAAATCAAGTAAATTGTATGGTCCTAACTAATAAGATTTAATATCAAATTTAAATATCGATATTAATTAAGAATGCATATTTAATTAAAGTTCCAATAAAACTTATATAAAAGAAAATAAAAATTTGTAGGTTTTCACATAAATACTATTGAATTCTGAGATAATGTCTCATAATCTAAAAAATATCTTATTCAAACAGTGAATATACTTAAATAGAATTGATTAATAGGTTTCAACTTTCAAAATTGTAAAATAATATTAGTTTATGCTTTTTAGATGCTTAAATTTTATTTTAAAGAAGAAATAGAATTGAAATTTATTAAAAAGTATTAAAAAGTTATTCTAATGAGTATGAATGAAATGATTATAATGTATTTAGATAGGATTACTTAAAATAATATAAGATGCAAATATCCTTAATGATAATTTTTTTTAATTCTTAAAAAGCTCTGGTGATTGAATAGTGTTAAACAATTATTGAATTTTAAGTTAGTTTATACTAAATGACCACGTTTGTAATGTAAATTTATGAAGGAGAATAATGAATGAAAAAAATGTATTTATAATTGTTTGTGTGAACATAACTACTCAATATCCAGATTCAGCAAGGTATTTTGCCATATCAAGGACTCGCTTGTTGCAATCGCTGGCATTCTATGGAGCACCATTTTCAGCATTAATGGTTTGGGAGAATGAAGCAAAGACAGCAACTGTATTAGCCCAAGCAACACAAGCTCCACCTTTATTCTATGATTATGAATATTTTAAATACCTTCTTTAAGTACCATGATTTGGATTCTCCATCAAATTAGACTGAATAATATTTTTAGTTATTGATTCTAATTCCAGCTTTATTACCTGAGTCTCCATTGTGAGTAAGAGAATGTACAAAAGCAGCCTTCTCATCGTAAGCAACCTTTGTTGTTACGTCTGGATTTTTCTCATCTGGTACATCAGCTTAATAGGATGGGAGAACAGCAACACCAAAATTGCTAGCCCAAATGTTTCCATCTAATCCAATGATGGCAGCATATTCTAATGCACCATTGGCTGTCAAGTTTGTTACATAAGCATCCCAAGACATTCTTAGTTAATATAATTATTAAAAACATATCTTCTTATAATACAGCATATATAATGAATTAATTTAAGATACTAAATACTTATAGAGTATTAATTATAGAATATACATAATAATAGGGTTATATTAATAAGCCATTGATTTTAATCTATGAAATGTTTTCTTTATTGATAATGTTTTCAATTGAGTAATTTGTAGAAAGTAAAAAGATTGTAAATATTATTAATATGCAATTTGTTATAATAAATGAAATAGAAAATGATTATATTATTAAAATTGATGAAATAAATGATTGTGATGTTTAGTATGTAAAATGCAGAAAATATATAATCCAATTAAAAAATATAATTGATATAACAATTTATTGATATTATAGACATGTGTCAATTCATAGTTATTTTAATTAATTATAAGCATTTAACTTAAATTTTATGAATACAAATTTTATATCAGATTGTATGTAATATTAAATAAACATTATTTCTTATTGAAAATGGTATGATAGTATTCTCATAATTTAGCCATCAGCTTAAACTATGAAATTAAGAAATAAGATTAATAGAAACAATATCAATAAATAAGGCAAGGTACCAAAATCTTTGATGGTATATATTGATATATTTAATTAGAAAACTGAGGAAGCTGCAGCTATGGGTCCTATTCTTTTAGGAGTATTTCTTTTTGTGGTTGTTGGATCAGGTAAGACATTCTTATATCTATATAGCCATCTTCTAAATTTTGAATGTATTATCGAATAGCAATGAGCTGTGATTTCATGAGTTATATTAAAAATAGTTTATTTATAATTCAACCAAAATAGGAATGAAAACCACAAACTACAAACACTAAGTCATTTTTGATTCTCATGAAAAGCCCATCAAATTAGATATGAAGACCTATCAAAAATATAAAACTAATATTATACTTTAACCAAGAATATCACCTCGAAAAACTGATAAAGTGATCTACAATCAGAAAATGGTTAATGATTATGTTGACATTATCAATCATAGATTAAAATTAGAAGAAAAAGATGTTGATTATAGGAAACTACCATAGAAGAATAATTCAATGTATAAGTCAATAAGTTCTTAACATACTAAATAAATATCACTTGTGGAACCTGTTACTGCAGAAAAACTATAAAGTAAGACTAATCTCGATAATCATTCCTCATTTTTTCATAGTCGTAAGTCTCTAACTAGAGAAGACAAATTATATTTATTATCTGATCCACTTCAAGAAATGTTAAAAACACGATAATCTATAACAGATTTAAGGGCAATAGAAATAGAAGGAGATGAATTTACTTAACAATATAAAAATAAAATAAATGAAGACTATGAGAAAGAAATATGTCGTAAAGATATGATTTAGAGAAGAATATTTGATAGTTAATTGAAATATCAAGGCAACAATTCAATTAAATAATTTATATTCTAATAAAATATGAAAGCATCTCAAAAATTCCACACTGAACCTATTGATAAAAATATTCACATTATAAAAGAATTTATTGTGGAAGATAAATTAGATAAGCCTAGATAATCTAAATTAATTACCAATAATAAAATCAATCTTATTACTCTTAAATCTACAGGATTAAAATCTTTTTAAGATTCTGAAAATAATAATAATTCTAGTGCTTAGAGATTTGAAGACTTATATAAAACATGTAATAATTTCTATAAAGAATCTCGATAAATTAAAACTAAAATCATGAGACTTAAACGACAAACTTGGAGGAAATATTAAAAAATCTTATAAATAGGAGCATCTTAAAAAGAAATTAAAATTGATTGAACATAAAAAATTACTATTGAAAATATACATATCATATACATAAGAAATATCTCGATATATTTTATTATTGTTTTTATTTCATTACTTATTAATATAAAAATAGTTTATTTCCATAATATATAAAAATTATTAAATATTATATTCTTCAAACATTTTAGATAATACATAAACTTATATTATATCAAAAGGAATATTAAAAATAATGAATATTATATTACCATTTAAAAGATGATGTAAATTTACTTATAATTTAGTAGTAATTGATTATCATTTATGATTTATTATATTATAATAAATTATAATTTAATATATATATGTTATCTGATCAAATCAAATAGGTGTTGTCAACAAAAACTTCATCTTTTCTCGCTCCTAGATTCTCTCGAAAAACTACATTGCTTAAAAAGAGAAATAAAGCTCTTTCAACTTGTAGTATAGAAGACATTGCAACATTGACATAATAAAAAAGCTTATAATAACCTTAATCTAAGTAATAAATAGTCAGATCAGAATCTTAACACAATCCATCAACTCCATTAGCAACTCCACAATAAAGTAATTCAGTTAGTTGTCAAACAAATACATCTCTATTCGATGAACAACTACCTGAGATTCCTGCATCTGATCCTATTTGGCTTGAGATTATCCCTTAAGAAATATTGTAAGGATCATCAGTCGAATAACTTCTCGAAGACAATAAAGATTACTTTTATTATTTATTGGGATTGTATCTCTAGGAATAAATGCATGGAGATTTTAATATGAACAAATTTATTTTACCAACTAAATGGTAAAGTTAATATGGACGTGATTTTCCACTTAAATAGAAAGAAAGATAAGAAATTATCAAAAATACTATCTATGAAGATTATAAATCTCCTTAAACTTCAGAATTTTCAAAGACCAGTTATAAAAGTCAATTTTCAGCATATCCACCAAAAGATTACAATCCAAAATTAGAAAGAAGAAAATATGAGAAAAGTGAGTTAAAATTCGCTACATTGACAACATATAAAGTATAATAATTATTTATAATAGGCTAATCATTATGATTTCTAAACAAATTATAAACCTGAAAAAGTAACAGCATCTAAACATTTAACAACTGGAGTACTTTCATTATCTTGTTAAACTCTTTATAAAACAGAATATTAATGGCCTTAACAAATAGAATAACCCTCAAATTGTAAAAACATTTATTCAAAATTGTATATATTATCTTTATTGTTAATTAGAAATCCAATATAATCATCTGGTATCTTTTTCGATAAATAACGAGATGTTTACAGTAAATTTCCAGTTGATCCAATTTGTAAATCAGCTCCTTATTAATAAACTCCTACATATTAGAATCAATATGTTTCTACAACTAAAAAGTATTATTTTTAGTATATATATAAATTAGTGATTTTTAGGGAACAAAATTTGGAGAAGTGACTCAAATGAAAAATTGGAAACAAAGTGTCATTAGGAGAATGAATTAATTGAGAAAACAATCGCAAATATGATCTTTAATTGTCAATATTCATCTAATTTTTTATGAACTTTTGAGAATGCTGTACTAGTGTTCAATCCATCAAACTTGTAGGTGTCTCCCAAAAAGGCCTAAGTAAATCTAGCATCTCTAGGATAATATTTCTCAATCAATTCAAATGATGTTGGATTTAACTGTCCATATTACATATTAGATGTTTCATATATTGGTAATCCTATTATCAATCATCAACTCATACCAACATTGATTCCTTAAGGAGGAGCCTTGTACTCTTATTCAGTGACATGAAACTTCTTTGATGGGACCTTGTTATCTAATTTTCTACGTTGTTTTTCTTCTTCAGAAATTGGTTAAGATAACTCAAGTCCTATAGTTTAAGCAACCAATTTATTTTTCAGTAATTTCTCAGCTCTTCTAAAGTCCTAATCTAGTTAATAATAGAATTATCACTTGCATTTGACGTACAATTTCAGCATATGTAGGTACAGGACATGATGTCATATCCACCTATTGTTATCCACTATGTAATAACCAACCATCACCATATGATTAGTTATTTGTAATATAATGAGCTGATTGATTTTTATTCATTTTAATAATGAAACAATATTCTAAATTATTATTGCTATGTCCATTCAATTCAATTGGCATTTAGATATTAGATCAAAAAATAGAAGAGTATCTTAAAACTAATTAAGAAGAAATAGTTATTTATTTAGTAGGAACACCAATTACATATCTCAAAGTTTATGAACGCATTCTTTTTCATCTTTATGAGAAAGCACAATAATATCCTACTAAATTTAATGTCATATTTGATTTATTCAATATGGATTTCAGAAATAAATACTAATTTGATTATGTAATCAATTTAAGTACAGATATATAAGGTGATATCAATATTCAACTTTAATTCAATCATTAAAATTAATAAATCTAATTTTCTTAAGAAGGTTATAAAGCAAATTAATTTAAAAGAGGTGCTAATGGTGGAACTTTTGATCATTTACACATTGGACACAAAATTCTTTTAAGTTTGAGTTTATTAGCTGTCAGTTAGCATTTGACAATAGGAATAACTGGTGAAATATTATTACAAAAAAAGAAATTAATAGGATTCTTATAATCCTATAATACTCGTGTTAGATGTGTAAAAGAGTTTTGTTCAATGTTTAGACCTGATATTGAATTATATGTTTCTGAATTAATTGAACCTGCAGGACCAACAAAAAATGGATAATATGAAATACTAATTGCCACATAAGAAACTGAAAAATCTTTAGTATATATTAATAATCTTAGGAAAGAAGGAGGCTTAAACGAATTAGAAGGATATATAATTGGTATGATCGAAAATTAGAATATTTAAGAAGAAGTAGATAAACTATCTTCATCATATTTTAGAGAACAAATCTAAAAAAAGAATAGATTGACTGAATAAGAATATTTGGAACTTAAAAATGAATGGTTATCAGTAAGTGATAATTTGTATTGGTTTGAATCTATTCTAGTTGATTATTATTCCTAACCTCAAAGACATTATCATACTTTAAGACACATTTATGATATGTTATAATAATTAAAAGGAGCTAAAAATATTAAGAATGTTAAATTAGCAACTTTCTTTCATGATGTTATATATTATCCTAAAATCAATGATAATGAAGAAAAGAGTAGTTTATTGTTTTAATAATATGCATAAGAATGTAATATAGATTCATAAATAATTTCAACTTTTATCTTAAAAACAAAAAGTCATTAAATTGATGGACTATTGTTACCAGAGGATGATTTATAAGATTTAATGATATTTTTAGATGCCGATATGTCCATTTTGGAATCTGATGCATATCATATCTATGCTAAAGATATAAGATAAGAATATTCACATTTTCCAGATTAAGATTATAAAACAGTGAGAATTGCTGTATTATAAAAGTTTTTGTAGTCTAAAATATTTAATTTGAGAAATGAAGAAAAAGCAAGAAAAAATATAAAAGAAGAGATAGAAATTTTATAAGTGTAACAATGAAATAATTTAATTTTCTAAATAATCAAAATATTTTTAATATTATATCAATTATAAATCACTCTTTTAACACTTTAAGTTTTCTTTTTGCAAATAATCAATTTTATATAGTAAATCCATTATCAATTGAAATTTTAATTCAAACTTTAAATTTCATATTAATAATTGCTCTTAGTAATGGTTCTAAACTTGATTATAAATGATGATTATTATGATATAAATTATATTCTAATATCTCTCTAAATTAATTATTTATTTTTTTTTATATTCTTACCAATATAAGGGATAGTTTTTAAAAAAAATAGGGGAATTCAAAACTTATTTTAAAATATTTACAATAAAATAAGAGAATTATTATGTATTAGAATAGAATTAAGATAAAATATATATAATTTAAAAGGATATTTTTAATAAAATATTTATTCATAAGTTTCAAGCTTTGAGAATTTTCTTTGCTTCTTATTATGTTGTTTTAATGACAGAACTTTATTAATTGTGATGTGATACTTTGTAAAATGTTACTAAATCACTATTTAAGTTTATGAGTTCAGGTCTAAATGTAATAATAATGTATTGAGATTCTTTTGATAAATTCAAGATAATTTAAGCAACTTGATTCCTATAATTATCATCAAGGGCTGCATCGAATTCATCTAAAATGTAAAATGGAGCTGGATCACATTTTTATAAGGATATTAGAATGACAAAGGCAACAATTGTTTTTTCTCCACTTGAAAATGATGTCCAATTCTAAACTTCTTTGTTCTTAAATGATACTTTAATATCAATTCCCCAATTTTTTTTATTATTTTTTCTTAAACCTTTAATTAATTTAATTTAACATTCTCCAGTGGTTACTATTTATAAAAAATAATATCTAAAATATTCAGCAAATCTTTTATATAATTAATCTTATAATAGACTTTCTGCTTTTTTATCCATAATTTCACAAAGATTATCAAAATCTTATTAAATTTACTTAAGATTTTATAGTTTTTATTAATAATCTGAAAATCTTGTTTCAATTTCATTTAATTTTTCAAATAAACTTTAATCTTTTTATGTAAATTTATGATTAAATTTAGTTTTAAGTTCTTTAATCTTCTTAATAATTTAATTCTTAGATTATTATTCATCTAATTCACTAAATGCATCAATCATCCTTTTATCTTTTTCAATAGTTTCTAATTAATTAACACATTATTGAGCTTGCATTTCAAATTCAGTTTATTGATTTTTAATAGAATCAATTTTTAAATCTATTTTACTTTTTTCTAATTTAGCATTATCTCTTTCTTTTATAGCTTGAGCTAAATTCTTTTTGTTTTCATTTTAAACTTAAATTATTTCTTAATGAAATTTCTATTTTCCTTTTAATTAAATATTTAATTAATCAGTTTATTACTTTAATTCAATTTATTATTATTCTAATTATTGAATTTTATTAACATCTATTTTCTTTTATTATCTCATTTTTATATCATTTTTTTTATTCATTAAAGTTGTAATTTATTAAGATAATTATTATTTCTCTTTAACTAATTATTATAATGTATTAATATCTTCATCAGTTAAACCTTTTTTTATTTATTTAGGATTTTTTAATTTTTATTAAATATCTTTGATTCTATTATTTGTATCTTATATTGGTATATCTAATTATTTTGCAAGTTATTCAAGTGCATCTAATTCTCTTTATTTTTTTTCTATAGCTGAATTATCTTAAGATTATAATTATTAAAGTAAATTGTTTAAATTATTTTTACTGTTTTGTATTTCTCTTTAAATTTCTAATGATTTATTTTAATCATCTTCCATTTATTATTCCATCTCTTAATCTTATTTAGTTAATAATTTTATTTCTTAATGCATAGCTAATATCTTTTGTAATGAAATAGTCTTACTCTATTAAACTCTAGTTGCACCAACCTTAGTTAAGAAACTATCTGCATAAACAACTTCATTATCTTAAGTAATACAATTAATCTCATATTTTGATGAAATATCTAAGGCAGTTTAATAATCCTTAACAGCAATCCATTTTCCAATTACTTTAGCAATCAAAGACTTTTTTTTATCAAAATCTCCATTTAAAGTGACTTGTTCTTATAAATTAATAGTATCTTTTGGTGCATCAAATGGAGTTACTCTATCATCTATTAAATCAAGAGGATATATTCTCAATACAGATCCTTATTAATCTTTATTATAATCAATAATTTATTTAGCAGTTTATGTATCTGGTACTATGAGACTAAATAAACGAGGGCCACTAGCAGTTTCAATTAGAGGCAATAATCTTTTTTATTTTACATTCATTAATTAAGCAAAAACTCCATAAACAATTAATCCTTTTTCTTCAGCAAATTCCATAATTTTAATAATAGATGCTGTAAATATATCTCTCAATTATTTATCTAATTAATTACATTCAATATCTTATTCATTTTATAATTTACATAATTTTTATTATTAATGTGTTTTAGTTTTCTATAATTCCATATTATCTAATTAAGTAGATTCAAGTTTTTTTCTTAATTAAAATAGATTATCTTCTGTTTTTTTAATATTACTTTATACTTCTCCAATATTAATTTGATTTTATTTTTATTATTTTAATTAATTCAAATCTTTACTAATTTAAGATATCTTAAATTCAACATTCTTATATTCTTTTTAATATCCTTCTAATTATTTTGTAAGAGATTAAATTTCATCTTTAAAACATTTAACTGGATCATCAGTTTAAAGTATTTAAAAATATTAAATTTATTTATCTACTTTAACTTGTTATTCTTATATCTTTAACATTTCCTTATCAAGATTTTATTCAGTTGTTTTGTATTCTTCTTCAATAGCTGATTTATTAGCACCCTTTAAAGTATTTAATCTTTCTCTAACTTCATTCAATTAATTTGATAAATCTGAATATTATTTTTACATATTCTATTCCTCTTTTTCAAATTCTTATATTTTTTATTTATTTTCATTTAGAAATTAATCAAATAATTCAATTTCTTTATTTGCTTTAAATTAAGCATTACTATAATCCTATTATTATTACATAAGACTTTGTAATTAATTATGTAATCTACTTTATTCTGTATTTAAATCCAATAATTAATGTTAAAAACTTTTAGCAGAAATTAACGATAGCTATACTTCATGCAATTAAATTTGTTTTTAAATATCTTTCAATTAATTAAATGCTTCCTTCTCATCATGTAGCTATTTAATTTATGCACCCAACTCATTCAAAATTTTAACTATTTCCTCTTTCTCTTATTATGCTTATTTTATATTATTCATTGTCTCTTGTTTCTTTTCTTCATATAATGCTACACCACTCACTTCCTCTAAAAGCTCAAAAACTTCAACATCACGCATTTAAGATATCTTACTTATCTTACCTTATCTAACAATATTGTAATAATTTTAGCGGGAGAGATTAATACATTACAATAAATTACTAAACTAAGAGACAGTTGCAGCTTTTCCATTCAAAAAGAATTCATCCTTTGTAGTCATTTGTCTCATTATAGTCACTTCCTCTGTACTGTAT